CACCGGCAGAGTAGCGGAAGGCTGAAGGCTTTTTTACAAGTGAGCTGAGAGGGTAAGAGTGGCCCCGGTAGCGTAATAGGGAGCAACCATACGGAAAGCGAAAATGCGGGTTCGATTTCCGTCCGTAGTCTGAATTGTGCCAATAATTCAGCACTCTTGAGATATAGTATTAGCAGCTTCAAAAATTCATAAAATTAAGAGCAAACATTTACAGATAATACCTGTGAAGGCTGTTCGAATTGAACCACTTGGCGAAGGAGGATTCTTCGCAATCGATGGAGAACCATACCGATCCGGATCTTCGTTTCAGGTACATCTAAATTACACCTTTCCATGTGAAACGCTCCTGTCAAGCCTACGCTTCCGAACAATTCATTGTTGCCTTCAAGGATTCTTGTACTGGTATCTCCCTAATCCACCGTCCACCTTGCCTTCATCCCCAACCTTTCTGGTAGCTTTATCTTGGAGCTTATTGTGCCCGCAACAAGTACCTGCCTTTCGTTGCCATGATGCCTTGAGCTGTTACCATTAGCTACACCAGTAAAAACCGTGAGGGAAACATTAGAGTGGTTCAGCCCACAAAGCACTGCTGCATGAGTGTAGTATATCTCAACGTTGGTGTCTCACTTTTCTCGACTGCCTGCGCAATAGAGCTGCGCTCCTGATTGCACCAACTACTCGTGTGAGCTGTTCTCTCAAACTTCTTCCGGCACGCTCTCTCTGGAGCGGTTGAAAGCAGATTCGATCTCCTATTTGGGCGCCATGTTCCTCGGAGGGCAATCTACAGCAGAGGGTATTGTTAACCATGTCATGTTCTCACGTGTCACCAGTTACTTTATGCGCCCTAGAGGCAGGGTGCAGTGAGGTGGTGGAGAAATCCGAATGACAAAACCACGCCACGCTGCTTATTGTTAGGCAAGAAAGCGTAATGCGAAGCTGACATGTTCTCACGAACAAGGGTAGCATGGTAGGTTAAAGAAACAGTTTGAAGTGATATGCACCCGTCTCTTGGATCTTTGCTACGAATCCGCCTTCGATATCTGCTGCGGACCTGTTCGAGCGTAAGCGGAGGTTTCTTTTTGGCAAGGCGTATCCACACCCGATACGTATCAGGCTGGTGAAAAAAAGTCCTGTCAGTTTTTTTGATGAGCTTATAGCTTTTGATCCTTGATGCCGAACATCGGATGACATGTTATTACTGCTGAACAGCTTCGAGGATTTTCTGCAAGAGGTATATTAAGGCGCATGGTCTTTCCTGCGTTTAACCACGATGACAAGTTGTAGAGGAGTAGCTTTGATTTATCATCTTCTATTAGTGGTGCCATGCCTCTGGAGCAACGGCAGCTGTCCGCAATACCAACGGTCATTGGGGGACGACATCAGTACCGCCGTCACTGTCCACCACTGGTTCGATCGCTTCGCGAGAGGAGACACGGTCTCGAAGGCAAACCTCTGTTGGGAAGCCCCTATGCAGTAGAAGACTCCGCCGTTCTCAAAGCTTTTCCGAGTCCGGAAGCTATCACCCACAGTCTTGCGACAAGATTCGGGTGCTCCTAACTGACAGTCGTCAACGTCAACCACTTGTAAGCCCTCGGCTATCTGAAAGTACTGGCTCGTTGGATCCCCCATACCCTGACGGGTGACGCGTGATACACCCGAATGCCCATTCGTCAGTCTCCCTTCTCCGTCCTCGTCAGGAATTTGGGAGACTGATTAATCGAGATGGTAGATAGGTTCCCTGTGACTCCAGTTCCCAGGTATCGTGTGACTGTCTTAAGGAGAAGACCCACCACAGTAGGCCAAAGTGGGCATGCACCTCGGGAATAATCTCTTGAGCTGCTTCTGGAACGTGAGGGATGTTGCACAACGCGCTGGACAGTAAGAACGCAAATCCACCGCCACCATGCATGCCAATCAGCTCCCAAAACCTTCGGATTTTTTTGAGAAAAGTTACCTTGGAGCACTCCGTTCGTGATGACGCCAGACATCGCACTGCTATGGAGGCCCACCAAAAAATTTGAGAGCAAGGGTGGGAGACCATACCCATCCACCATGGTTTCTTGACATAGCTCCGTCTGATTACCACTTCATCAGCTGCCTAAAAGCTCTTATGGCTGAGAAAAAATTCAGCAAGTCCGATTGCATTAGTTGAGAGATAAACGACTTCTTGAACCCGGAGCCTTCACATTTACGGGGCAGGGGGATCACTGACCTGCCCATTCGGTTGTGCACAACGGTGGCTAGCGTTAAGCATAATATTGTTGATCAATTTCTATTGTATGTTGAGTTGGAAAATGAAGAAAAAAAGTCACAACAGTAATAAAGTTCTCTTACCAACCTGATACTTCCGGCGTAATTCTGCTTCGGATATTAGGCGATTTGCATCAAACTTATCTACAATCCCAGTGCAGACATGAGGCCAACCACATCATTGTGTCGAATTCGAAGCAGCAGGTCGCCCGAATTTGAATTGAGTGGGATCCTCATGGAAAACCTCCGTAACTTTGTTCAGCGAGGTCCTCAGCAGATTTGAAAGGCGGAGACGTTATCGTCATTTATAGATACAGCACATCTACACCTTTCATTTCAAACGGCCTCTTTGACCTACCATCCGTTCCTGGTCAGCTGACTTAAGTTCTGTTAGCGCACTGTCTCTTTGAGAGGACATAGACGAGCAAGCATGACGTAGCTCAGCTCCCGTTGGAGAAAGCCCCTCCCGAAGCACACAGCGCCTTTACTTGCTCTGCAATGTCTTGTTAATTGCTGTTTTCACAAGAAAACAGGGGGAAGCTAAAGTTATTTATGGAAAGTTGCTGATAGTGAATCCTGAGGAAAAAGCTTCAGTCGGTACATCAGCGCGGATCTCACACTTCCGATTAGGTACTTTTTGTGCTAATAATTTTGCACTACCTCGGAATCGCCAAGACTAAGTTCGAAGGAGCTATGGCGAAGCGTTTTTTTCACTATGTCAGCAATCCTCTAATAGCACCTTCACTTATTGTAAGGATTCTTTTAGGTGGTTCCAAGCAAATACTGTTCCACCGTCGTCGGAAGGAAGTGAGCCAAAGTGAACTCGTTGTTTTATTCGGTGTCTTTATTTTATTTAGGGACTGTTCTCACACTGTTGTTATTTTACTCGTTTCTAACCATTCCCTCCATTTGTTCAACCTCATTTTCATATGTCGTGCATTGTTTTCGGAGATAATATTAATAATACCATTTATGTTCACTTTTCTCGAAGCCTAGAAATTTACGCAGATCCGTATTATGTGGCGAGTAGCATCTATTATCGTAGAGGGGGCTCATGAGACATCATCGGGTCACTTCATATAAAAACAGTCGGATCGCCCAGCTCTCGCATGGCGCTCCATCTTGTGTGTGGCTCAGCCAAGCGCTCGTCCTCAGGGTGGATCAGAATGAGAAAAACGTTCCAAGAGATCACAGAGCATTTACGAAAGAAACAGGAAGGAAACATGCAAAACTTTATGTCACACATCAGCCACATACAGGGGGGGGGCAAAAAAAAGTCACTTTTCTTCATTGACTTTCGAGGCGCTATAAGTTACACTTTATTAAATTCTGATCGGACATTTTTACCACCATATTAAAGAGCATATTAAATACTATCATGACACTCCGCCACAGCCTTCTGGACGAGCGCCATCGAGAGATTCTGGCACGCGACCGCGATGTGGTGCCTGAGATCAGCGAGATAGTCGATTTCTTCCGCCACCCCCACCGCGCGCAAAAAAGAACCCCCCCAAACCCTGTATTTTGGAAAAAAACTCCGCCCGAACCGGGTAATTGAGGAGATTCAGGTCAGGTGACCTACTTGGATATTCCATCTTCTTCAGGTACTCAGCCCCTTCCATTCCAAGTAGGCGAGTGTTTCTCCAACGCCCTTCGATTTCATGTGGTGGCACTCAATGCTGTAGCAGTACAAAGTTTCCAAGAAGACGGTTGACGACATGTGTGGACGATATTCTTCTTTAGTTTGCTCGATTGCACTCACGCCACGACTCACCTTCAGTCCGGCTTCCACGAAGAAAATATTGGTCTTTCCATTCAGGTCCATACCACCATGACACTCCGGTCCATACCATCAACCCGCGCCTTGGCGACTGCGGTGAAGATGATGTCCTAGACCGTGGCGACGTTGTCGGAGCTGCTCGATGTTGGAGGTCATCCAGATCGAGAGTACTGATCTCCAGGTAGCTATCCATGGGTGACTCCATACTAGAAGTTTCGCAGCTGTTTGGAGGTGACATGAATTCCAAAAGGTCTCCAGTCAGGCTGCGACTGGAGATGACTTCATATTTTGGTGTACATGAAGGTGATGGGCGAGAGCCAGCTCCTGCTTATCGAGGAACATCTTGGGTATCTTCCGCCCTGGTACCTCGTTATCACGTTATCTGTACTGCGGCCAGGGAAACTTTGCTGAAATATGACTCGGTCGAAGTGACTTTTTTGCCCCCCCCCCGTATATCGAATACCTCTCGCTAATTCCCGTCTTTCGGTCGAGGCAACTGATACCATTGAGTTGATAATGGGTTGTATTAACACATTTTGAGAGAATTTGATGTGCAAAACAAACGTCTCGTCAAATTCGAAGGAAGAGCACGACTGATTGGATCGTTGAGCGGCAGCCGAAAAGAGCGAACTAATTTTTGATTGCTTCATGTCAAAAAAAAAAACCCCCCGTGCCTCATTTTTTTCCCATGTGAAAGCGGAGGTTTCCATAAACAACTAATCAGTTTTGTGACATGAGGCAACTCAAACCTCTCTTCTTCAAGCAAAGCAAGCGAAGAACACTCCTAACGCATTACGCATTACCCATATTCGAAACACAGTAGAAGCTACTTTTGCAAAATTCGTTAAATTTTCCCGTTTCATGTGCGGGCGCAATGTACCCCTACCCCGCTCAACATCCCTCATTACATATGCGAGAGGTGTTCAATGTATTCTCGGTATAGGTATGAAGGAAAGGCAGAAAATTCTGAATAAAATTTATTTTTCAATGTAGTCCCCATAACCTCAATACACTTGTTTGCTCGGGAAACTAACTTTTCAATACCCCCTCGAAAATATTCTCCCTCCTTTTCTCCGAAATGTGCGTAATTGCCACATTCAGCTCTTTATCGTCAGAAAAACGCTTGCAACGAAGATCTTTCTTCAGGTTGGGAAACAAGAGTTAATCACCTATCATTTTCTCGATTTTCATTTCATTGTCCCAACTTCCTTTTCAAATTTGTCAATCTTTTCAATCAGTAATCATTTTCTCAACATTGTCGCATCATTCTAGTCTTCTTTCATCAAGGATAACTAGGATAGCATTGATGATAACTAAATGAAATTTTGTATTTATACCCTCAGGGAGTGTCGTTACCTATTGAAATGATTTAAATTCCTTCGTCACAGCTAAATTACACCGATACCGAGAATACTTTGAATGGCCCTCGTAAATACAGATAGCTGCAGGATTTTGGTCTCTACAGAGGCAGCAGTATAGACTCAAATGCAGTGAATTCAATTTTACCTATTCTTATCAACTATCATTAATTGCCAACTGTCATCAAAGTGACCAACCTTCATAATTTGGCATTGTGAAAGCCCTGCAGCCTTGAAGAGCGACGATGGCGGCAATGCCCCTAATCAATCCCTATCAGTTGTCATCCCTTTCCGTCACCCACCACAAGTGTTTCTGACCCATCGCCTATTTCACCTGTTGGAACTGTACAGTTGCTGCTCCAGCACGCTCACGGGTATTAAATATTGGCAGCCTACGCTTTTCCTATAGCCTCTTATCGGATCTTTCAGTTATGCTGAGGTTCGTCACCCACCAATGGTGTTTGCGTCCCACAAACAATATCTCTTTTTCGAACTGAGTTGCTACTATTGCTGCCACGTGTGGTTTTAATTTGGCGATCCTCGCTTCCCATGTAGCAACTCCATATCGGATCTTATCAGTTCGCGGTAATGTTATTGCGCACCGCCAAGTAATCGGTGTTTTCGTTCCACCACATACTATATCTCCTTTCGGAACTGATTTCCTACTGCTGCTGCGACCCGCGCTATGAATTTTCTCTTCCAAAGCCAATGAAGCATTTTTGCGGACATACAGTCCTCATCATTACGTACTGTCGGGGCGGCACAGCCTGCGGCTGCAGCTGTGACGCGACAGCGACCGGGGCACCGGTTCGATGGAATTCGGCTGCAAATTACCAGAGTTTTCAGCTGCCTTTACATTTTTCTAGAGTGGACGGGTGGCTCATTCTGACCAATTTTGAATTGTACTGGCTCTGATTTCCTTTATTTTTATGTCGATTATTATGCTCTTTTCCTTGTATTTTGCCTTATTTCAGGTATTTATTCAAATGGCTTACATTCTTTCAGATTCATTCAGAGTCAGTACAATTCAAAATTGGTCAGAATAACTCACCTTCCACTTTAGAAGCTTGCAGAGC